AAATTGTTCCGTAAAAAAGTTATTAGCAATTATCCTTGTTGCATATCATTGTCCTCTATCTTTGTCTCATTTTACATCTTTCGCATGTCCCATTAAGTTTGTTGCATATCATATTTGTGAATATTTGGGCGATTACAATTCCATCTAATTTTATTCACAATTTATCAATTTAGTTATAATCACACAATCTCAATTTTCTTAAGGAGCGGATGTAGTATTATAAAGAAAATGTCAGATGAAAAGGCTAAAATAGCTGACTTTAAATCATTTGAGTCGATCTAATCAGAAAAGTAATTTTAACCACACTTATTTTGATTATTAAATAATTTAGCTAAAATAGCTGATTTAAAATAGTTAGATTAAAAAATTGACTGATACGTGAATAAGGATTCTTTCCAGATCGTTTTATTTATATTTCATATATGTCAACTAATTTACAAAATTAGTTAAGAAATAAATAAAATTAATTTAAAGGACCAACTTAACAATGTCTAGTTCCGTTAAATTGGGTCAGTGGGACTCCGTGAGTGAAGGGGGCAATTGCCTTCCTTTGGTGAATTTTAAAGCTTTTTACACACAAAAAAAGTTTAAGGGCATGAATGCCCATTGGTGACAACTTCATGGGTGTTTTTGCCCCTTTTCCCTATAATCTAAATAATCCATGTACTAAAGGTCCTATGACCGGAAACCAACCTCCTACTATAGGTTAGAAACATTTTTTATTTTTTATTTTGCTTTATTCTCTCTTGTTTTCCAATCCAGCCCTGCACTACACGTCGGGGTGTCCTCAACACAGATTTTAAAAGATTTTAAAGGATTGTAGATTTCATAGATTTTAATAGAATTCTATAGATTCCATGAGATTGAAATGGAATTATATGGGATTCTATTTCATAGACTTATATGGATTTCAATGGATTTTAATAGATTTGAAACACAATCCGATGCAAAAAGTTGCCCCAATCCCCGGTCCCCACACCTACTCAGCCGCTCCAAATCGCCGTCGGAAAAGTCGTCATAATATTTTGATGATTTTTTTCTTCTCTTTTTTGCAATTTTTCAGCTACGTAGTTATTTTTTAATTTTTTTTGCGTTAAAATGGAGGTAATACAAAACAATTTGAAACTCCAACTACATTGAGTGCCAAACAAGTTCATATTTTTCAAATTTGACCATTTAACTTACTAGAATACTAGGCATTATTAGGCACAGGTTTAACTGAAATCATGCAGAATTTTCAGCAGACCCTTCATAACCATAGGGGTTTTTGCTGGCCCAATTCCACTGATCTTGGCACATCTCTTCAATTGTATAATTTGCCTTCCAGTTTAGCTCCCGTTTTGCTTTCTCAGATACTGCGTAGTTATTCTTATCCATTAATTTTAATCAAAATCCACTACGATGGAATGATGATGAATTGAACGATAAAAATTTGGAAAAGAAAACATACCTGAGTACTTGGAAGATGGAAGAACACAAGTCACAATGGATGAACGAGAGAATGGCGATGGAGCTCCTATGCCGTAATTACCTTGGTGGGGCGATTTTAAAATAATGGATTTGAAATCCAAGGGTTGTTGGTCACATTGTTGGTGGATTAGGTTATTCATTATTTTGGTCTAAAAGTCCATCAAAATCTTTCAAAGTCCATTAAAATCAATAAGAAGTGAAATTCATGGAATGATTGAGGATACCTGAATTTTAATAGATTCCATGAAAATCTAAATTGAGGATACTTGGGTTTGGATGGAATTCTAAATTCCATTAAAATCCATGTTGGGGACACCTCGTCGTTTTTTATCTTTTCAATTTTCTCTTTTGTTTTTTTCTCTTTCTTCTTTTCCAATACTTCAATAGTGTCCCATTTTCTCCTTGCACGCAGTTTTCTTATTTCATTTTATCATTCCAATTTCTAACAATTTATGTTTTTGTTTTCAAAAAAAAAAAATGTTTGTAATTTTTTCTTCTCCTATTCCCCAAGAAATGTTGCTGAAATTTCTTTGTAAGGATGTTTTTACTCGAACTGTAATTTGCTGGTCTGGTCTGGTAATGTTTGGTTCCTTTGTATTTTTATAACTATCCAAGTCTGGTCTGGTCTGTTTTGGTTTAGTCTGGTCTGATTTGGTCTGGGATAGATTACAGTCCAAGTAAAAACATCCTAATTATTTCAATAAACTATCATCTGTAACTCATAAATATGCTCATTCTTAATAAAAAAAAATATGTGAATTGTTATTAAGGTTCTTTTATTTGTGAAGAAATTACGCTTATAGAAATGCTCTTAGGCCGAGAACTGCGAAGTTAAACTTATAGACTAAATATAGGAATTTTTAACCAATAAATCATAACTTATAGACCCCTCAAAAATAATTACGAAAATGCCACCGCAAAAAATAATTACAGAAACCTGGAAAAAAAATTTAGGCGGTGACATTTTCGTAATTATTATGGAGAGCTTTATAAGTTATGATTTATTGGTTATAAGTTCCTATATTTAGTCTATAAGTTTACTGCGTTGTAAGATCAGATGCAAATCCAAGGGCTGAGATTACTTCTCACTTCTCATTTTAAGGGTCACTTCTCACCTGATCTTTTATATATATATATATATATATATATATATATATATATATATATATATATATATATATATATATATATATATATGTATGTATATACAGAAATGCTCAGGTCCCTCCGGAGGGACGGGAGCATCCGTCCGAACTTCACTGTTTGGGGCGGTTCCCGGTGGAATTTTTCGATGAAAATTTTTGAGCATGTTCCTCATCAAGTCTAGTTTGTCCATACCAAATTTCAGCTCAAAATTCGACCGGGAAGGCAGTCAAATAAATTCTTGAAGCTTACTGCACATTCTGCGCATATATAAAGTGCAGTAAGTTTCAAGAATTTATTTGATTGCCTTCCCGGTCGAATTTTGAGCTGAAATTTGGTATGGACAAACTAGACTTGATGAGGAACATGCTCAAAAAATTTCTTCGAAAAATTCCACCGGGAACCGCCCCAAACAGTAAAGTTCGGACGGCTGCTCCCGTCCCTCCGGCTGGACCTGAGCAGTCCTATATATATATATATATATATATATATATATATATATATATATATATATATATATATATATGACCTCTTTTAAGAGAAATCGTATAGTTGTTATTAAGTTTGATCTAACGGTTCTTTGTATGGATGGATTATTTTATCGAACGCCTTGTATATATGATTAAGTGAGGTGGACTTGCGAGTGACGTCACTTGATCATACGGCAGTTGTACACGCACTTAGATTGCGGTCTGGGGCGTGACCGACTGTCTTGCCTTCGTTAAAGCTGGACTCGAGCGAAACCTTCCGCGAAGCACTCCCCATACAATCTTCGAGAAAGAAAGCCCGATCTTCTCTACGCTTAACCTCGCTAAAAACCTTAATCACTAATTGCCTTGATCGCCAACGGCGATTTCCTAATGACCATCACCAGCCGTCGAGCGAAAAAAATCGCCGACCCCTACCCCGCAGACCCTAGTTGCGACTTATCTCCTCATCATAACACATCATTATTTTCAAAAATAGAATCGTATGTTTTTTCAAAAAACAAATAGAATCATATGTTTAGTTTTTCCTAAATAAGACTAATTTAATTAATTAGACTAATCATTCATTTTTACCCCTAATTTAATTAATTAACCTAATTAATTGACTTCCTAATTCCCTTGCATAACTAAGGTCAGTCCGTGATTCCGGTGGCAAACTCTGGCGGCGAAAAACTACCAGATCGAAGGAGGAGTTCTTGAAAAACATATGCCGGCATGCGGTGGATGGTCCGGAGACCTATGGGCAGCAGCTCTAACCCCATAATGATATTTTGGTCCAATCACAAATAAAAAGTCTTATTACGACATTTTTAACTAGAAGGTCCTATTTTTTGGGAAAATGCTACTCCCTCCGTATTTAAAAGTTTGCTAAATTTTCCTATTTGGGATGCATTTAAAAGTTTGATACATCTTCCCTATTTGGTAAGTTTTATTTAAAAAAAAAAAACTGAATTACCGTTATCTAGTCTACATTTTATCTTCTTTTCCTACTTTTTCACCTCCTCTCCTACTTTTTCTACACCATTCGTCACCCCTAATATTTCCAACTTAAATATTGTGCCAAGACTTAAATACCAAGGGAATATGTTTTAATCCTATTTGGGTATATTTCCAATAATTAAATAGAAAATGCCTCAAAAAGGACTAAAACTCATCCATTTTCCGGAAATAGAACCAAGTAATTTTAACTTCCATATGTAGAATTTTTTATTGGACAAAAATACCCTTATAGGGTTGAAGTTATTGCCCTCAGTTTGCTTAGGTCATCGGACAGCTGCCTACTGACAATCTATCAAAATTCCGTCGTCGCCTTCCAAAATTCATCTGTTGATCTACCAGAATTCAGCCGCCATCCATCGCCGCAACCGGAGTTTTGTGCCGCCGCCACGTACTGATCCGTCACTAAAGAACTGATCTTAATTATATATAAGGGAATTAGGAGGCAATTGGTTAGGTTAATTAATTAAATTAGGGATAGAATTTTTTAAAGAAAAATAAACATATGATCCTATTTTTGGAAAAATTCTATCTTTTGACTCTACCACAAACAATTCTCTCATAATTAAATGCCTCCTAATTCCCCCAACACAATTACGGCAATCTGGCGACAACGGCGGTGGAAATTTAGCAACCAATGGCGGCAGTCAAGTGGGTAGTGGTAAGCCCCAGCCCCCAGGTATTCAGTATTCTTGTTCAATCACAAAAAGACTCGTCCTTAGGTAATTTTTAACATCTATCCTATTTTGCCTGTTTAACATGTTTTACTCATATTATGACTATTATCTCTTTAACTGATTAATTTGTGGCTCCAACAAATTTGTCTCTCCTCTCTACAAACATCTACCATTCAAATTTTACTTTATTATTCCACGTACGGATTAAATTTGGCAAACATTTTAAGAACAGAGGGAGTAATATATTCAATCAATATACAATTTTAAAATTATAAAGCAAGTTACAAATGGCATTTTTTTATTTTATTCAATAAACAAATGCATTGTTTTTTTTCAAACAAATGCATTGTTCTCATAAGAGTTTAGGAGCAGCTAAACATGTAAGCTACACTGCTACAATCTTAAAGAACACTTTTGGAACCTGCACTCCTGTGGTATGCTACAAATGAAGACTTAAAGAATCCTCTTCATTCACCTGCCAAACTTAACAAATTACATACACAGCTAATCTAAAATTTTGCTGGCCTGAACCATGTATGTGTACACGCTGGGGCCAACTATATATACAATATGATGTGTGGTTGTGATTTACAGAAGCGCAATGACCGGGGTTGAACTTATTGATGGGGCCACGGGGGCCACATTACTGCATAATGTAATCCAAGAATCAGTAAAGAAGACTTCAGCATCTTGAAGCTCATAACCATGGAAAGATGGCAGATGATATCCAAGCTCGAGGAGCCGTAGATTGACAAGTGGTACCACCAGAGTCCTCAGCAGGCTCGATATCAGCATCTATAAGGACACATTCATCCAATTTAGATGATCACATAAAGAAGTAAAACATCACTCGTTTGCCCACTAAGAAAATAGAATGGTCATCCAAACTATGTTTGGGTCGGTGACATTAAATTTAGAATGTCAATCAATTTCTGAAAGAAAATAATTTCACTTTTGATCCATGGGAACTTTAGGTCAACCACATTCATTTTTTATGTATATTTTGTGTATGGCTAGACTTTTTGGCGAACTTGGTCCTTATGGCAAAAATCAACCTGGACTTGTACGGATGAGTAATTGGGAAGAATCAAAAGTGGCTAAAAATCCATGGTCAAGGACCAAAAGTTAAAAAGACCAAGTACTCATAGGGCCACAATTGAAAAACTTTCTTTTTTAAAATTGTTAACACTTTAATTCATGCAGAAAAACATAATGAAAAAGTTCTATGCTGGATTCCGTCCTGTGCCAACCTCCTTACTAGGAATAACATAACAAATTCCAATACTACTTTCATCATCATAGGTTTTTTCCATTTAGGAAATAGACTAATAGAGTAAAAGGACCAATTCAAATTCCCTGTGCTGAAAGTTCCACACAATGGGTAGTCTGGATCCGCCTGCCTGAATTTGGGACAATGAACAACCGTTGTTTATCTTCATCAGGACCATCAGGTATTCAGATCTCAATCGGATGGTTCCAGAGAAGACAAGAACCAAATTTGAATAGCACAATAGAACTAGCGAAGCAAGTACATGCACAAACTAGCTGCTATGCATTGAAATATATGTAACACTGAATCAACATTGAATGAGGCAATATACCTGAACAAGAGACAAGTGGAGACTACCAATGTTGCTCCATTTCAAAGACATGGTTAAGTAATCTAATTTGACACTGCCTCCTAGACTACCATTAGAAACCTCTGCAGAAGCCCATCCATTGATTTCCTGTAACCAAACCATGAAATAATAAGAATGAAATGAAGGAGATACGCAGTAAGCCAACAATTTGTAAATAAGTAAAAACGAATAAATAAAGAAACACATACCACCAAAATGCACGCAACAGGAACTACTTCACCCTTATGCAAAACATTAATAATGACATCCATAGGAACCATGACATACATCTGCTGTTTTTCAATCTTGATGGTTGGTGTTGAGGTTACTGAAATATTGAGGCTCATGTCATCATTAGGGTATTGTTTGTATAGCTTAGGGATAAGAAACCTCCACTCAGCAGTGTTTAGTAGGGACTGGTCCGGTACTTGATCCACGAGGAAATGCATCTTATCTGCCTGATGAAACAATATACAATGTCTCAAATGCAAACCAATTACATACACTTACCAATGCCAGATTGCCAACTAGTATAAGTTACAAAATGGTTTCTTTGATTTATTTAGAATTAATGCCCAAGAAAGTCCATTGACTATACACTATTACTCAACTTGTTCTTCAACTGAAGTTAATGCCTAATTTAGTCCTCGTACATATTGGTCCAATTTTAGTCCCTGCTCACTAAAATTGGACTAATTTTAGGACTCAATTTGGTCCTCAACTATGTATTTGGCCTCCAGTAATCATAAACGTACCAAAATATCCTTCTTCATAGGAGCAAAATATGGATGAAAACTAATTTGAGTCTGAATGACATAGTAGAACACCACATTAAGTCCAAAACAATTGAGGGCCAAATTGAGTAGTAGTGTATAGTCCAAGGATTAAGTTGGGTAATAACTCTGTAATTTAATAAGATTATAAATCAAGTCATGATCATTTTTATATTGTTAAACCAGTAACCCATGAACTAAGTTGGAGCAGATATTTTATGATATCCAATATCACAGGCTCAGCCAAATAAAAGTCATCATCATTACCCCAGTGCCACAAAGGCTCCCACCTACAGTGGGGTAAGGGGGGGTCGGATGTACGTGGTCTTACCCTTGTTTAGCACAGAGAGACTGTTTCCGGATGACCCATGGTTAAAAATCGCATCAAAAAATGCATGAATTGACTGTTGCTTCATAACAAAGAAGCGCAACTAGTTTAGTGAGCCATTTTGCTTTATTCCATCATATTCCCAAGACAAATAAAAGGTGGTATGAAAATCTACCTTGAAATATACTGATAATGCTGACTTTATAACATTTTCGTGCAAGAACATTGTAATCATTTTATCTGGATCCTTGCAAGTGATAGAAGGTAAGAGATACCCATGGTAAAGTGTGAGAGGAATGGTTATATTTCTGTCACCACTTACTAAACCATCAATTGCAAGTATAACAGAAGCATTGCTAATCACTGGATCACCAATGAAAGTTATATTCAAAGAAGCAAGTTTGGTAATCTGCACTTCCTTGGGAACAGACTGCAAAAGAGAATCAAGCTTCACAATGCCATCTCCTATTTTCTTTGACACTGCATCTTCAACTGCAGAGATTAACTTATCTTCAAAAGCATCTAGGACCCTAGCAGTAAGTGGGACTTTTAATGGTAATCAGATCTAAAACCAACCATCAGGGAAAAGAAATGCAAAAATAACATTTGGAAATAGCATAAATAATTAGCGCAATGTGTCTCTTTCATATAGTAGTCCATCCGTTCCAAAAACAATGGCGTTTTTTCTGTTTTTGTCCCAAAATGAGTTGTCATCTTACCTTTTCAAAAACATATCTATCACACATTCCCGATTTTAGCCTTCTATAATGATAATATGGCACAACTTCCCATATTTTCAACCTTGGATAACTCCATAAAAATGGCATATTAGTATATTACTACTCTACAATCTTCCATCCATATATTTTAATCTGTAGTATGCGTAAAATGCAACAAAATGACATCCTTTGAAACGGAGGGAGTAACATAGTTAATGTCAAACAGTCCACTTTGTGATGTCAATACTTCATGCATTTTAATAATATATTATAATTAGTTTCTTATTACTCCTTCCCTCCCGCTAAGATTGTCCCATCTTTCCTTTTCGATCCGTCCCACTAAGATTGTCGCATACCAGATTTGGTAATATTTGTGTGGTTATAAAGCATTCTTACTTCATCATTACTTTATCAATTTAATATCAATCACATAACCTATTTTTCTTAATAACCGCACCACCTCCTCATGTCCCAAGGTTAGTGGGACAGAGGTAGTAATGATTTTCTTATGCTTAATTATATGCACAAATTTATTTTTACGTGTTATGTGTAATAAGTGTCACATTATGTGATATACTATTATGCTTGATAAGACAGACAAATATATTATGTTCAGAAACAATAGTATTCCCAAATAAGTGTAAGTCCATTAAAAAAAAATGTAGTTTTTTATGTGATAACTAATTTGGCCATAAGTTCACAAACATATCCCTATTGATTTATAGGAATTCAAAGCAATAAGGTAAGACTCAAAAGTGACATAAGTAAGGGATACCAACTTAATCATTTCACTATGTTTTACTTTATTGGGTTACTAAATGATCACTCACTTATGAACAAAATGCATTTTAGTTAATGAATACTCTTTTAATTATGGAGACAGTAGCTTTATGAGAGAGAGAGAGAGAGAGAGAGAGAGAGAGAGAGAGATTTGTATTGCACAGATAGAGAGATCTTTAATAGCAAAAAACAGTGTAATACCCTTGATAAAGCCAAGAAGCTCCTCCACCCAAGGTTATTGATATATCTTCCACAAAGCATCCACATTCCAGGAGAGACAGTGAAAGAGATCCTTCTTTAGTTTCAAGACTGAAAGAAAGGCCTATACTCATGCCGTCAACCTTTCAAAAACAAACACTCACAATAAGGCCACAATGTTAGAAGTGAGTGCTTATTCGGTTATTACATCATCCCTCATAATCATTGAGGGTCACATTTCCTAGATGAACAAACCCTCAATCTTACAATCTTACTTCTTCTAGATGTCGAGCTTTAGGTTCCCATGGGAAGTAGACAACTTTTCACTCATTTACTTTTTTTCACCATAACACACGAAAGACGAGTTTCATTTCCATACACGTACCTGAACAGAAGCTTCTCCTTCATCTGTGATAGTAATAGGAAGCAACCACGTGTCATAGGAATACATCCACTTCATAGTTATATTACCAGTGGCACCTGAAACAGCTAGAACCACACCAGTGTCCCCGGTTCTAACGGTAGAGGAAACCACATCGATTGTGTCTATAGTAATGTTAGAAAGAAGCATCTCGACTTTCCCCACAACCGGGATATCCACAGATTTCTTAATATCGGGCAGCTCAAGTGGGACTAATGATGACTCGGCAGTTCCAATCAATATTTCTTTGGCAAAATCAAGACCTTTATTAGATATACCCACCAAGACAAACCCCCCTTGTTCTTCACTGGAATTTGACTGGGAAATCGATGGAAGAATGAGTAAAGAAGCTACAAGAATAAAAATGGAGGCGCCAGCCATGGAGATCGTATATTCCAGAGCAGAACGACCAATACGACGCTAAAAAGAACCAATATTTGGAGATGGTCAGATGGACGAAGTGTTATTGGGAATTCAGAAGGCTGCAAAGGAACTGTTTGAAGATTTGCACGGTTGTGATTTGACTGACTGCGGAAATGGAGTTGGTATTGTGTGTGGCTATGGTAAACATTATTTATGAGGATGCGTTTTAGGAAGGTTACAACCACTACAAATACTCCGTATTCATTTATTGGACACAAATAATGCATTTAGGAAGGTTACAAGCATTTTCGGTACTACCTCCTCCGGAACCACCACCTTGGGTTTTATAAGGTGCTAGAACCCGTGAAAGTTTTCCTAATAATTTGTATCTGTTTGTCATTTGTTTTCTTGTGTCCATCTTTGTGGTTGGTTTTGACAGTTTGTTTGAGTTTTTAGTCTCTTTTTATGTCATTGGGTATGGTTGGATCTATGTGAACATGTTTGGTTGTGTCAAGCTCAATACATGGTTAGCGATTCGTAGTTGTTGGAGTTTAATTGGTGTCAGGTTTATTTTCCCTTTGTTTGATGTAATGATCCTGACTCTTTTAATATGAATAAAGGCATGTTTTAATGATCAAAAAAATAAAAATCAGTTATTTGTAGACGGATAATTCACATGAGCGCCTAAACCAATGTATAAATCAGGGCACATACAACCAATGTTCTAAAAGGCGTAAGGCGTGCCGAGGCGGCACGGCCAAGCCTTAAGCCTTTGAAGCCTAGGCGGGCTTAGGCGGCACTTAGGCGTGAAAAGGCATTTTGATTTTTATCATTTATTTTAAATTTCCTAGACCTATTTTACATATTTTAATGTAGTTTTTAAATATTGGTATTAAAAAACTTCATATTTTCTCACTTTTAACAACAACAAAAATAGTTGAGTCCTAAATCTAACAAATACAGAGTACAAAGTTACCAATTGCACAAAGATTTAGAACTGCAAAAACTAGTTTAATGGTTAAATATTAATATTAATAAAAAAAAATATCTAATATATGATCAAAGTAAAATAGTGGACAGAAAAATGACTTAATAACTCCTAGTGACTATACTAAATTTTACATTTTAGTGACTATGGAAACATACTCTGAGTCACTCTAGTTATATTTTTTGTTCATAAATTCTATTTAGTAACATTTTAAAAATAAAATAAAATGATAATGGTGAGGAAGTTGACAATGATAACGCTAAACTACAATAACAATAATTTCTTTTACAATAACAATAATAATAACAATAAACGGTAACAGACCGTAAACAAACAATAAACGGTAACACTAGTAATAATAATAATAATACTCCCTTCGTCTCAAATTGATTTGCAAAGTCAACATTTTTTGGTTAACCAATGTTAAAGTTAAATTCTCTCTATTGATAATTAATTCAATTCTTAATAATTAAAATTTAGATTTTTAAAGTTGCAAAATGAATTTGGGAAAATTGCAGTATAACAATAACTCGAACAACAATATTATACTACGTATTATTAATAATAAGTGGTGTTGTTTAGCGTATTTAGTATGGAGTTACAATGTGAGTTATGATGTGAGTTGAGCTGGAGGTATGCTTACCCATGCATGATCGTATATGTGTATTCTTCTCATGCTTTAGTTTATGTTTAGATGTAGCATTTCATTTTTTTTTTCTATTCTATATCCCACACCGGTAGGAGATATGCTTTACAAATGACTACGGATATTTTCTTTCCTCCGTTCCCATTCTTTATCCCACACCGGTGGGAGAGAAAGCGTTATAATTCACCAAACGCTATAAATAATCCGTCTTCCTTTACAATGCTTTGTGCAGATTAACGATAGGCAGCCACAAATTGTAGTGCGCCTTTAACCGCGCCTTGTGGATAGGCGAGGCGTTTCATTCAGGCCTCACGCCTAGGCCCGCTTTTGCGGCGCCTTGGCCCGCCTTTTAGAACACTGCATACAACCAACATTTTTCAATAAATAATACCGAGTAATTGAAGAACAATGGATGTCAGAATGAGGGGGTGGACCAGGCCCGGGCCGGGACCAGGGCCAGGTCGGGTCTTGGGCGGGTCATTTTTTGGGCATGGGGCCCGGGTTGGTTCCGGGACCAGGTCGGGTTGGGTCGTGTAATCGTGTTTTTTTCCTTATTTATTCCTACACCCCCAACCCCCTAACACCCCCAAGCCACCCAACCCGCCTACCACCCCCAAACACTCCCAAGCCACCCAGCCCAACCCGCCTACCACCCAACCCATTCGAAAAAAAAATGGACCCGGGCCGGTTCAAAGAGGGTTCCAGCCCGTGACCCGCCCCAAAACCCCTCCCGGGTCGGGCCCAAGGCCCGGTACCAGTCCCCGCCAACCGGTTCTGGCCGGTTCAAAACAGTGTCAGGCCGGGCCTGTCAACCCGGGCCCAGTCCATCCCTACTTCTAGGGTCACGAAGCACACTTATGATTTTCATGAATTGCATGCAATAAAAGTAAATCGATATAGTACGTATACATTAATTGAGGAATAAGTGGAGTAAGAAGGAAAGGAGTAGGTTATAATTGTGTGCATGTTGTAGGGAAATTGTTCGTAGAGTTTCATTAGCGAATGCCCCTATAAATAGGGATAGAGTAGGGTTTACAAGTACGGGCCAATAGGCCCATATTACATAGTTTACATAGAAATGACCCTAATACATATTCTATATAAACGATAGCACACTACATAGAATTTCCTTCAACACTCCCCCTTGTGCTGAGTTGAATAGAATTTGGTATCTGTCTTGTTGTCTCGACATAACCTCTATCAAGTAATAAAAACCCTGTGGGAAAAAATAACCTTGACTGGAAAAAAGAGTATAGCATCACGATAGACTTCTTCCATTAAGTCTGTGTTTATTTGATCCTTGCTTTGATCAATAAAGTTTATATGTATTGTTACCTCATTAAAAACCTTACCAAGTAACAAAACCCGGTGGGAAAAATAAAACTTGGTTGAAGGAAAAGAGTGTAACATAATGTAGATGGGGAACTCCCCCTCATGTCTACACATATCCTTAGTAATTACATTAATCAAGGATGTTTGGAAAGTCTATGCATTCCAATACTTTTTACGTTAATTACCTTAGCGAAGGCACACAAAATAGAGGAATATATTTCCTTCAATTCTCCCCCTGTGTGCCAAGTATAAGGTGATAAGAGTAAGAAAATTTTAACTTGCTAAAACCTTGCCAATAAACAAAACCCAATGGGAAAAATAAACATTGGTCAAGGGAAAAATGTGATGCACTAATAGCACACGTCAATTACTTTTGACTGCGATATATTAATTATGTTCTTCCTTCAACATAATTTTACGTTTGCAAAATTAAAATGTGGGATGGTGCATGTTGTGTTGCCTCAAAAAAAAACCTTACGAAGTAACAAAACCCGATGGGAAAAAAAATAAACATTGGTCGAAGGAAAAAGAGTACAACGCACCATTATAATTGATGATAAATAAGTGTGTAAGTACTCCCCCTGAGTGAAACACATCAATAAGAATCTAACATTTACTTGATATATACTTTTATCAAGGTATTCGGTATATAACATCATGGTCTCTTTCAAGATAAATATATACTCATTAATAAAATATCAATGAGGTAAGGGGATACCCATCATCAGTAAAACTCAAATCACGTTACTTTGTGTTAGAGTAATACTTTTGATATTTTCAATTCCTTTAGAAATATTGTTATCATCGATCATTTAATTCAATTTATAAGGCATGAATAACGATTACTCCGATGGTTTCATATAGATATCAAAGCACATTCTTGATACCATTTCAATGACGATATACGATGTGTTGGCCCTGAGCTATTTTTAGCTAACACGTTATTTGAGAATGTAATATTTGGTCAAATATGTTGGTCAAAGTACAATCATGCGCATATTGCACTTACATAGGGAATTTCTCCTCCCAATAACTTTTTAGTAATGGAACTTTTCTAGTATCCATATTTCGACCGATCATGGGAGTGCTAACAGTTTACATTTATCCATGTCAATTTTGCCTGAGAACCCTTTTGGATATATGCAACTGGTGAATTAGTATTCAACCAACTCGGTGTTTAATTTCAAAACAGAACCAAGTTTCCCAAGATCCTTTATCTCAATTATGATTTTCAAGTATCTAACATGTCTCATGTTCCATTATGAGTACATATTATGTCTATATCATGGAGATACAATGATATTTGGAAACAAAACTTATTTCCATTATAAATGCGCTAGGCATAATATATTCATTTTGCATCCCTTTTCAGTCAAGTGGTCACTTAGACGGGTATGTCACTCCCGTTTGGATTGATTTAATCCAAATGTGAACGTATATAATGTTATTAAAACCCACTTGATAAAAACATAACTGCTCTTAAGTAAGATTGAGACATTTATTTGGTGACCCCAATCTTTAGCTGGTCTCCATTACTTTGGAGGCTACTTAAGGATTAAGTAGTTGGACATTTTTGTGTTCAAAATAGAGAAGTGTATGTAACTTTTCATATTTGAATCCAGGGCGTAGTGAGAATAATTAGGACCTCATTATCTTAATACGCTTTCTAACAAAGAATAATTTATGTCCTACAGGCTTTACACTTGGTTGATTAGCACTATCACACCAAATACCTGTCTCTTTGTCAAATATTAAATTTATACCTGGATTACTTGTACACTTTTAGGCCAAAATTCTCATTGCTTTCATGTTGCAATAGAGTATGGTTCGATATCATCGTGCTCTATATTCGTTTGAGCAACCGTAAATATATCGTCAGTATAAGTGTAAGGTCTATCATTCGACTCATACACACTCTCATTAACATGGAGATTTTAATTCTCTGGAATCATTTAAACTTCGGGGCGTCCCCCATTATGATTCAAGGACATATTTATTCAGAGACAATCTCGTGAGAGGAATTCATATGATGACGAATATATTGATGTGTGCCTTATCTACCCTCTACTACTTGGGGTGGATTATTAATCGAACCATGTGACTTCCCTCTATTCCTTTAGAGAGCCACGGCCTAACCACAACCCCACTATTTGTGGTTGCAATGCTTGTTCCTTTAGCATTGTATCTTTTAATTTGAACTTTAAGCTAGCCTTAAAGATATAATTACAGCTAGTGTATATAATCTGATTA